CAGCCTGCCTCAGCCTCAGCCTCAGCCTGCTTCAGCCTCAGCCTCAGTCGGCCTTCAGCCTCGGCCTCAGCCTCAGCCTGCATCAGCCTCAGCCCCTGCATCAGCCTCAGCCTCAGCCTCAGCCTGCCTCAGCCTCAGCCTGCCTCAGCCTCAGCCTCAGCCTGCCTCAGCCTCAGCCTCAGCCTGCTTCAGCCTCAGCCTCAGTCTGCCTTCAGCCTCGGCGTCAGCCTCAGGCTGCCTCAGCCTCAGCCTGCATCAGCCGCAGCCTCAGCCTCAGCCTGCCTCAGCATCAGCCTGCCTCAGCCTCAGCCTCAGCCTGCCTCAGCCTCAGCCTCAGTCTGCTTCAGCCTCAGCCTCAGTCTGCCTTCAGCCTCGGCTTCAGCCTCAGCCTGCCTCAGCCTCAGCCTGCCTCGGCCGCAGCATCAGCCTGCCTCAGCATTCAAAATGTGGCCCAGGAATGGAGTTCTGGGAACTAGAAGAACACGAAGTGGCCTACAGTTGGCTCCGGGCATTCAAATCATGCCCAGGAATGGAATTCTTTTTTATGGGAATTCTGAAGGACCACGAAGTGGCCTTAGTTGTCTACGGGCATTCAAAATCATGCCCAGGAATGGAGTTCTGGGAACTCGAAGAACACGAAGTGGCCTACAGTTGGCTCCGGGCATTCAAAATCATGCCCAGGAATGGAGTTCTGGGAACTCGAAGACCACGAAGTGCGTTACTGTTTGCTAAAAAAAGAATCCCCGGCATCCTCCCCCGGATCGCGCCCAGACCCCCTTGGGGCGTCATGATGCCCTCTTTTGACCCTACTAGAAACCTATCAGTCTTCGCTGTTAGGTAAACTGTCCCGGCAAAGCAACCTAACAGCGATGTGTAGAAGCATATTTGGAAGCATTCCCCTTAAGATTTAGGTGAGAATCCAGTTGTAGAATTCTGGTGTTCTCGCAGTCGCAGCCTCAGCCTGCCTCGGCTTGCCTCGGCCTCTGCCTCAGCCTGCCTCGGCCTCAGCCTCAGCCTCAGCCTGCCTCAGCCTCAGCCTCAGCCTCAGCCTCAGCCTGCCTCAGCCTCAGCCTGCATCAGCCTCAGCCTCAGCCTGCCTCAGCATCAGCCTGCCTCAGCGTCAGCCTCAGCCTGCCTCAGCCTCAGCCTCAGCCTGCTTCAGCCTCAGCCTCAGTCTGCCTTCAGCTTCGGCCTCAGCCTCAGCATGCCTCAGCCTCAGCCTGCATCAGCCTCAGCCCATGTGTGCCTGCATCAGCCTCAGCCTCAGCATGACTCAGTCGCAGCTTGCATCAGCCTCAGCCACAGCTCAGCCTCAGCCTCAGCCTCGCTCGTTCGGCCTGAGATCAGCCGGCCTCGGCATTGCCTCAGCCTGCGCCTCAGCCTGCATCAGCTCAGCCTCAGCCTCAGCCTGCCTCAGCCTCAGCCGTAAGCTCTCAGGCCTCAGCCTCATCAGCCTCAGCCTCAGCCTGCCTCAGCCTCAGTCTGAGGCCTCAGCCGCAACGTGCCCTCAGCACGGCCACAGACCTAAGCCTGCTCAGCTTCAGCCTCAGCTCAGCCGCCTCAGCCTGCCAAGGCTTGCCGCGGCCTCAGCCTCAGCCTGCCTCGGCCTCAGCCTCAGCCTGCATCAGCCTCAGCCTCAGCCTGCCTCAGTCGCAGCTTGCCTCAGCCTCAGCCACAGCCTCAGCCTCAGCCTCAGCCTGCCTCAGCTTCAGCTTCAGCCTCAGCCTGCCTCGGCCTCAGCCTCAGCCTGCCTCGGCCTCAGCCTCAGCCTCAGCCTGCCTCAGCCTCAGCGTCAGCCTGCCTCAGCCTCAGCCTGCATCAGCCTCAGCCTCAGCCTCAGCCTGCCTCAGGCTCAGTCTCAGCCTGCCTCAGCCTCAGCCTGCCTCAGCCTCAGCCTCACAGTTGGCTCCGGGCATTCAAAATGTGGCCTGGGAATAATGTTCTGGGAACACGAAGAAGACGAAGTGGCCTACAGTTGGCTCCGGGCATTCAAAATGTGGCCTGGGAATAATGTTCTGGGAACACGAAGAACACGAAGTGGCCTACAGTTGGCTCCGTGCATCCAAAATGTCGCCCGGGAATGGAGATCTGGGAAGTCGAAGAGCACGAAGTGGCCTACAGTTGGCTCCGAGCATCCAAAATGTGCCCCGGGAATGGAATTCTTGGAAGTCGAAGAGCACGAAGTGGCCTACAGTTGGCTCCGAGCATCCAAAATGTAGCCCGGGAATGGAGTTCTGGGAAGTCGTAGAGCACGAAGTGGCCTACAGTTGGCTTCGGGCATTCAAAGTGTGGCCCGGGAATGGAGTTTTGGGAGGTCGAAGAGCACGAAGTGTGTGACTGTTTGCTTAAAACGAGCCCGGCCCTGAGCCCGGCCCTCGCTGTCCGGATGCCGCCCAGACCTCCCTTCTGAGTCACCAGATGCTCTCTTTTGACACCACTAGAAACCTATCAGTCTTCGCTGTTAGGTAAAAACTCAAAAAATACTCCCCGGACTATTTTTTTACATTTTTAAAATTTCTTGGGGGGTATTTTTTATCTGTCGCCGAAAATCCCCCTGCAGGGGGACAGGCCCGACTTGACCCGATGTCGTCCTCGTCCTGGCTTCGTCTTGTGCACCGCCGCTGCGCCCGCCAGCGCAGGCCCGCCCCTCCCCCCCATTCGCCCGAGCGCAGCGCTGCCCGAAGCCCCCCGCCCGAGCCATCACGCGCTCTGGCGCCCAGAGTGCCAATCGCCAAGAAGCGACACAGCACGCGATGAGGATAACAGTGACGACGATGATGGTGACGACGATGATGAGAACGACGACGATCGTGGTGACGATGACGATGATAATGATGATGATGATGATGATGATGATGATGATGATGATGATGACGATGACGATGACGATGAGGATGATGACGATGACGATGACGATGACGATGATGATGATGATGATGATGATGATGATGATGATGATGATGGTGGTGATCATGATGATGATGATGATGATGATGATGATGATGATGATGATGATGATGATGATGATGATGATGATGATGATGATGACGATGACGATGACGATGACGATGATGATGGTGGGAGGGAGGAGGGGGAGGAGGAGAGGAGTGAGGACGCGGGGCGCTGTCTCTTCCAAGCGAGGACCCAACACCAGAGGATGGTGGGGAACGAAAACGATGTGTGTATATATATATATACACACGTGAGGAGCCCGAGGGCGCGGGGCTTGCCAGGCCCTGCGCACCCGAGGGGCGGACGCCCCAGGCAATCGGGGGCGGCGCCGCCCCAGGCGCGGGGCCCTCCCCCGCCCGCCCGCTGCGCCCGACGGGCACTCCGGGGCTCGCCGTGCGAGGGGGGGGGGCCGCCGTGCTGCCGCCTGGGGGGGCGTGCCCCGCGTCGTCTGCTCGGCCCGTTCCGTGCCGAAGCTCTTCGGCGCCGCGAGTGCGGAGGAGGAGGAGGAGGAGGGGAGGAGGGTAGGAGGAGGGAGGAGGAGGAAGGGGGAGGAAGGGAGGAGGAGGAGGATAGGGGGGGGTGGAGGAGAGGAGTAGAGGGAGGAGGAGGAGGAGGCTATCCCTCCTCTGCCCCGCCCTCCGCTGCGGCCGCCTGTGGCCGCTTCTCGGCCCTCCCCTCCGCGTGCCGCGGCGGGCACGCGGAGAGCGCATGTGCCCGAGCCCGGCTCTCGCCGGAGCGCGCGTGCGGCTGGTCCCCCAGCAGAGCTGGAGGAGGAGGAGGAGGAGGTGGAGGAAGAGAAGGAGGAGGAGGAGAGAGAGAGAGAGAGAAGAAGGAGAAGGAAAAAAGGAGGTGAGGAGGAGGAGGAGGGGGGGAGGAGGAGGAGGAGAAGAAGGAGGAGGAGGAGGAGAAGGAGAAGGAGGAGGAGAGAGAGAGAGAGAAGAAGGAGAAGGAAAAGAGGAGGCGAGGAGGAGGGGGGGGGATAGGATAAACATGACAATGGGAATGATGGAGGAGGCGGCGAGGAAGGGGCGTGTCCTGTGTCGTCTTCCGCTGGGGGGGGGGGGGGGGTGGGGGGGGGGAAGGGGGGGGAACAGCGGCTGCCCAGGAGCAGAGAGCACAACCCCCCCCAAAAAAAACAAAACAAACAAGCTTTTCAGTCTCTCGCCAAGCAAAGCTGGGGGGGGGGGGGGGGGGGGGGGGGGGGGAAAACAGCCGGCAGCCCAAAGGCAGAGAGCACCGACCCCCCCCCCCCCCCCCCCAAAAAAAAAAACACTACGGAACCGAGCCCAGAACGGCGCGAACGAGGATCCCAAGAGCGGACAAAACAAAGCCCCAAGAACGAAGAGAAAGCGTCGATCTCGAAAAAAAACGTGTTCAACATCATCTCAGGGAACGACCCGTCACGAGCCGAGCAGGGTCCCTTCGGTGCAAGCGCCTTTCGGAAAGCAGGCCGATACAAATCAGCGACCGCGACCAATAACCGAGGGAGGGGACGGGGGAATTGCTGTTATGGGACGCCCGTCCGACCCCAACACACAACACAAAAGCTTGGAGGGTATCGTTTCCCGAGTGGCATGGCCAGAAAGCGCCCAGCACGGAGCTTGTACGATATGATGCTAGAGCGTGCGCATCGCACTTGCGTGGCCGACGCACGAATGTTTGGGTGGCGAAGGCCCCTCGCTGCAAAGTACTGCCTTCGAGATAGCACACGCACGGATAAGGCTGCGTGGATTGGCGACTGGTTCCGTTTCCGTGCCAAATCGGCCTGTTCCGTCGCCAAATCAGGCGGCACCCGCCCCATGTTTTGGGGGCTACGTTCTGCGATCCATGGATCTGGCGCCCATGCGACAAATCCACGAACCTCTAATCAATGTGAGCGTGTGCCCAAAGCCTTGGAGAGGAGGGGGGGGACGCCGGGGAGGAGGGCGGGGGAGGGTGGGGGAGGAGCGGGGGGGGGGGACAAATCAGAACCATCAAGCAGCCGAGGCACTGTGCAGAGCTTTGGGTGGGGACACGGCAGCTCGGCCGGGCGGCGGGCTGTGAGCCAGGCCGACATCCACAAGGGCATCTTCATGGTGATCGGCATAGGCCAGCGAGGACGAGGAGGGGGAGGAGCCCAGGGCTTCGACGATAGGATGTTTTCAACTCTCGTGGTTGGCCTTCTCCTCGACCACCAGGGACCGTGCTCGGGCTCGGGGGCCATCGGACATGGATCTGGGCGCGGCATAATCCCCCCTGGAAGGGGTCCAGAGCTCTGGGGCAACGGACAAGCAACACCAGCAACAACAGGCCCTGATCATCGTCCTGGCCTTTGTCCTAGCCCCTAGCCTGGGTCCAAGTTTCAGATCGTCGTCGTCGAAGGGGGAGGAGGAGGAGCAGGAGGAGGAGGAGGAAGAGGAGGAGGGGAAGGAGGAACAAAATAAACCCAAGACTCATCAGCGATGTTGGAATACGCCCTCCCTCCAATCTCCCTCTTCACAGACCCCTACAAGGGTTCATTTCCACTGAGGGAATTGACCCGTTGGGGGACAACCGTGTGAAAATCCTGAGGCGTACCAAGACGCCGCTCTCAGGAGTCCAGCACCACGAATTAACGTCTTGGCGATCCTGAATCGTGCCAGAAGACCGTTCCTGGGACTTCAACACAGCGAATCAGCGTAACTGTTGCGCCCTTACAATCGTAAACTATTCCAAAACACCATGCCTGGTAGTGTAACAGCGAAACCCTTGCAAATCGTGAGAACGAATGCGCGCGACGCTGAGGCGAGAGCCACATGTTGAAAATCACCCGCCCTCAACCCGTGAAACCCTTGCAAAATGTTTGAAACGAATGTGCGCGGCGCTAAGACGAGAGCCACAGTTTGAAAACCACCCGCCCTCAATCCGTGAAGCTCTTGCAAATGTTTAAACCGAATGTGCGCGGTTTTATGGCGAGAGCCACATTTCGATATGGTGAGAGCCACATTTTGAAAAACCACCCGCCTTCAATCCTTGAAATTCTTGCCATGTTTGAAAACGAATGTCCGCGGCGCTAAGGCGAGAGCCACATGTTGAAAACCACCCGCCCTCCATCTGTCAAACTGCTCCAACCCCTAAGCTTCAAAATCATAAATGGTGAGGAAGTCTTAGACGAAACGCCTGGCCCGCCCTTTCCACTGGCCTCGGGGTGCAAAGGAATGGAGGAGGAGGAGGAGCAGGGGCAGGAGCAGGAGCAGGAACAGGAGCAGGAGCAGGAGCAGGGGCAGGAACAGAAGCAGGAGCAGGAGGAGGAGGAAGAGGAGGGCGAGGATCAGCTGCAGGTGGTGAAGGGGAAAGGAGAAGTAGCCCGAGCGGCACCGGGAGCGCGAGCGGGGGCAGGGGCAGGAGTTGGAGGCGTGAGCAACAGGTAGCGGAGGGCGGAGAGAAGCAGCAGCACACGGCGGAAGAGGAGGAGTGCCGAGCAAAGAGGAGCAGCAGCACTCAGACCCCCTGGCGCTGTGACAAAACACGACGGAGGTTTTTTTCCCAACCCTCCCGCATCGGGCTCTCGTTCTGGAGCACTGCGGTCGCACCCTTTTCTTCCTCATTCTCGTCCTCTGTCCTCTTTCTCCCAGCTTCCCCTCCTCCTCTGACTCCTCCTCCATATCCTCCTCCTCCTCCTCCTCCTCCTCCTCCTCCTCCTCCTCCTCCTCCTCCTCCTCCTCCTCCTCCTCCTCCTCCTCCTCCTCCTCCTCCTCCTCCTCCTCCTCCTCCTCCTCCTCCTCCTCCCCCCGTAGCCATTTTGGCTCAAGATGTCTGCTTTGCGCAAGCAGGAAATGGATACCGCTAGTCCGCGGCCAGCCCAATCTACTTTCCAGCCACACTCACGGGTGTGCTGGCACCTCTTCATTCATTTCGGTTTCATATGCATTCAGCTCCTGACGATCGAGGCCCTCTCGTCGCGGAGCACAGACGTCTTCGAATGGCACACCCTCGGGGGCCGAACGACGCTCTTACAGAAGGCCTCTCTGAATCGGCTGCATCGGCAGGCGATCGCAGTGCCTCGCGCAGTGTTGGCGAACGTCCTGCGCGTCGGCGCCCCAAGCACTACGACAAGTTTCGCGGAGACGCGGGTGGCCGACTCCGTGACAAAGACTCTAACCGTCCTCAGCACGAAGGAGAACGTGCTGCGGCCGCTCGGTCTGGCAGAGCTGGTGGTGGATAAGTTCATGTACCTGGTGGTGCCACGGGACCTTTTGTCCTGCAGCTGTACCAGGTGCCGCTCGCTCCGATCCTCTCCAGCAAGCTGATCCCTGGCAGCTCCAGCGCGAAGCTCTCGCAGCCGCCATGGAGGAGGGAAAGGCGCCCACCTTTCTCTGCATCTCAACAAGCCGAAATTGATTGCGCACGGGCACTTCCCATGGCAAGCACGGGTCAAGGAAAAGGTCCAGCCGCCACCGAGGCTCCTGGAGCGGTGCCACCACTTGCCCCATCTGCAGGCTCCATCGAGGCGCTCACGGCCCCCCTGCACGACCAGCTCACCCAGCACGTGGACTCGGCCATGGACACCTTCTAGAAGGCCATTGCGCGGACGGTCACCTCCACCATTCACGAGTATCAGCGGAAAACGGACCAGCGCTCGGGCACCATTGGTGGGGGAGCTTGCGGACCTCAAGCGCAGGATCGCCGCTTCTGAAGGGGAACAAGAGCGCCATCGACAAGCCATCGGCAGCATCAATCGGACACTCGCCATCACGGAGGCCGCCATCCCTGTTGTCGATTTGGCCGCAGAAGCTGAATTTGACCGACAACCCGATCCTGTTGCGTTCTCCATTGGATGTCAAGAACTCGTCTCGCCTCAACAACGCCGGGATGACCTTCAGAGCTGGTTTCAGGAGCCTGGCGTTGACTGGTCGTATGCCTCTCTATTGGCGATGTGCCTGCCAAGCGTTTCACCCCACGGCTTCTCGGCGACAAGAATGCGGTCGCCCCCAGAGCTACGGCGCTTGAACGTGGTCTCAAACTACGAGGTGGCGAATGGAGATCTTTCACAAGTACCTCAGCGCTGGGACAACGAGTCCCTCTCTATGTGAATACTGACCGCAGTGCCCGACGAATTCGACGAGAAATTCACACCCGACGGCTTCACAAGATTCTTGAATCTGACTGCGCCAACTTCTCGTTCAGGCCCTACAAGCAGCGTGGACGAGTCACTCTTGACAGCGTTCCATTGGTTCGCTTGGAAATTGGCACTACCGCAGCTATGCCCACCAAGGTTGAACGGAATCGTGAACTCGCAGCACAACGCGGCATCAACTGCCCCGCCGTGGAAAAGCGCGCCAACGACCTCTTCGACGAGGGCAAGGCCATATCGCGGGGGTAACATTCAGCGGACTGTTCACTCCAAACAGGGCCTCAAGATCATCACGTGGAACGCCCGCAGCTTGCTCGCCATTGACCGCCGGCGTCGCCAAGCTAAGCTACAAATACGTCTTCCCTATCTGCGACAGGGATATAGCATTGCTGCACAAGAGGTTCATGGTAACGCAGCTCGTCTGCAGCGACCCCTGCCTACGAGACGTTATACTCCAACAGTGGCTCGTCGAGGACGGGAGGCGCCGCGTTTCTCCTCCCCAAGCTGTCTGAAATTGACGTCACGGACCTGGGCGGCCAGTCGCCTCGTGTTCCTTGCACCCCGACACCGTCGACTGCCTCCACAGCTTCACAATCTTCATCTACGTCTGCCAGTTCAAGGTCTTCCTCTTCGGCCAATTCCTCGGCTTCGTTATCTGATCACCTTCCAGGTGAACTCTCTCGGCTGGGTCACCTGCGCCCACGCGCCCCTCAAGACCAAGGGTCGGTGCCTTCACTGTTTGGGGGGGCGGCCAACCACAACGAAGGGGCGGAGATCCCAGATGTTGGCCAGCCAGGTTTGGGAAGCTCGCCAGAGATCCCACATCACGTCTCCCTAATCCCTAATCGCACGATGCATCTCCACAGCACTTTCGTTCCAGGACGCGCTCAAGTCTTCGAGGTCTACCATGGCAACGTCTGCGCCGCTGCCCTCATGAGCACCCACAACTATGAGCTCACGCAGGACCAACGGCGAGCCATCCAGGCTGACTGGCACAAGTACCAACTGCGGGCACAGGTCGCTCCGCTAGCGCGGATTTCCCTTGCCCTCGGCGACTTCAACATCCACGACGAGGCTGCTGTTTCCTTTCTGGGCCCGCAGCCCATGATCCTCGCCAGCATTGGGGGTGACCAGCACCATCAGTCCTTCTGGAAGAACCACTTCGCGTCGATGACCGAGGTCTCGAGTGGCGAACCCACGCGCTTCGACGCTCATGCGATGCAGGAGACCAGGATCGATCGCGTCTAACGCTGAAGGTTGATAAGGATCCTGCCGCACTCGGTGACCATCGTCTCAGCGATCACGCGCCGCTGGACCTCACGATTGCGACTGCTGTTCCCAAGACGGCCGACATCCAACCGATCCCCGCCTCCATCTTGCAGGCCCCCCGCTACAAGCAGAATGTTTCTCTCCTTCTTCAGCACTCGCAGCTGCAATTCACGACGGCGGAGCGACGTTGGCTTGGTTGCAAGGGCATTGTGACTGAAGCGGCTCGCCTCGCGCGCAATGAACTCACCACGCGCCCTGGCACGGTGCGCTACCAATCTGCTGCGGAGGCACGCTTGCCCACGCATCGATCCATGTCGCGGGCTATATGGAGACCGGATCTCCCCCTCGCCCACACCCTCATGAACACCGCGGAGATTGGCAAGGACCCCCTCTTCATCGCTGAAGGACGGGCTGGCCCACGGAATATTTAAATTTGCGGAAGTTTCGCGACGCGCTCATCTGCAGCACCTCCGTCTTCGCAAAGAGCAAGCGGTCGCTGCGGCACAACGCGCTCAGCAACAAGGTCGCACGGAAATGGATTATCAACGCAAACAAGCTCGCATACTACAGAAGCGCAGCAGGGCCTGGGCCCCTTTTGCGCGGGCGCTGTCTGCGACAGGGATTCGCCTGGCGAATGCGGGAGACATCGTTACGGACCCAGCAGCGCAAGTGGAAGCCTTGCATGATCACTGGCTGCCCATCTTCGCGCACAAGCAGGTTGATGACCAGGCCCTCAAGAGCTACCTCAGCCAATTTGTTCCGCCGACCATCACCACGCCGAAATTCGTCATTCCTTCCGCTGCTGTTATGCGCCGTGTTGCCCTTCGTGCTCGTGCGTCAGCGCCTGACCCTGATCGCCCCCCATGCCGAGCCTGGGCAGAGACTGATGGGGCTTTGGAAGCTCTGGAAGATGTCACATGAGGCTTCTTCGAGACCTGCGCTGCCCCGCCCACGTTCAACGATTCGATCTTCTCGTTCATCCCGAAGTGCGAGGAGGAAACCGACCATTTCTGCTGCACGCGCGACGCAGTAAATCTGCGCCCGATCTCCCGGATGAACACCGACCGCAAGCTCTTCGCGGGAGCGCTCGCCCTACAGCTCAGGACTCGCGTGGAAGAACATGCTCATCATGATCAACATGGATGCACTCGCGGGCGCAATTTTTGCAACAACATCCTGTTCATGGACGCCAAAGGGCTCATGGCAGGATGGAACGCTGACGCTTCACTCGATAAGCCTGTTTTGCTTCTCTTCGATATTGCTGCTGCCTTCCCCTCTCTGGGGAGGCAATGGCTCTTCCAGGCCCCCAACCAGTTCCAGTTCGAGATGGGCTTTGCCAGTGCGGCCGCTGCCCTGTGCGACCAGGCCATGGCCTTCACCATTCTCGATGGCCAGTGTTACTGCGTCTGCCCCTTGGCATCTGGAGTAGCCCAAGCTGCCCTTTATCTGGCACCACCTGGGCCTTCGCGATGGATGCCATCATCAGAGCTGTCAACGTTGCGACGCCCACCCCCAAGAACGGCAAGACGGGCGCTTGTGCCGATGATATCGGTCTTTACCTTCAACGCATGGCTCTAATGGTTCCGCTGGCTGACGTTTTGCATCAAGCTGCGGTGCTCGACAACATACATCTCAACGTCGAGAAATGTGTCATCATACCCCTGTGGGCGAAGCTGGCCAACACAGTCCGCGACGGCGTCGCCGCCTTCCTCCAGGGCCACCTTCCCGACTGGCCCCCATTTTCAAGATTGCGGCTGAAGGTATGTATCTTGGGGTGCACGTGGGCCCTGATGCGGACGACGATCTACAATGGGCTGCTGCTGGATCCAAGTGGTGGCAGAGAGCGGTGGCCATTGGCAGTACGACAGGGCCCGCGGACGCCAATGCGAGGCTCTATCAGACGTCGGCGATCACAGTCCTCGGCTACTTGGCGCAGTTCTTTGATCTCCCACCCCAGCTCAAGCGAAAGGAGACCTATGCAGTTCACAAAGTTCTACGTATGCCTCCCAGCACCTTCCGCCTCAAAGATGTCCACTCGCTCAACAACTGGATGCCTGGAATTGCGCCGCGCCCCCTGCTCACGCATCCGCTTGGTACTCAATTGCGGGCCGCTCACTTTACCCTCAACCTGGTGCAGCCCCTTTGTTCCAGGAGTTCTTCGAGACGGCTCAATCCGCATGCGGACCCCATGCATTGGCAACTAGCAAGTGGTCGCCTGTCTTCTGGAAGGAACCGCAGGCGATTGTCCAACGCCTCAACGAGATGACGCAGGGTCGCCCCGTCCAAGTACCAGCTCGTCGCCACCATGATCTTCTTCGCGCTGGTGCCATTGCTCACCGAGCGGCGCGGGATGCCGTCGAAGCTGGCACCAAATCCAAGCCGCAGCGCGCATTCATCACGGCCCTGACCAACCACTGGATGAAGGACGATTTCGAGATCACCATCGCCAAGCGGCTCATGGCCTGGTATGGGGCTGCTATCGTTCCGCGCGACCTGAAGCTGCGCTGGACCACCATCAAAAGCTTGCTGGTGCCGGTAACGCCTTCATGGCGGCGGATCACTCTGCGGACTCTTGCGGGTGGCTGGCACACGAGCTCTCGCATGCACGTGACACCCGAAGTGGAACAGTGCCGTTTTGGATGCTTCCAACAGCCAGACGCGATCGCCCACTACTTGGTCTGCGATCGTCTCCAACATCTGGTATGTCTGCCTCATACCTTCTCGCAGGTCGACGTGCTGGAGCGTCTGGGACTGGGCCTTCACGATGCCGAGCACGGGGAACATTCGCTGTCGATGACTATCCAGCGCCTCGTCCTCTCGTATTACACGTACCTCGACGTCAAGACCCAGGGCGTGAACGACTACTCCTAGAAGCACCACTTGGACGCGCGCTTGGCCGCCCTCGACCGCCTCAACTTCGCGAAGTAGCTGCGCTGAGGTCCAGGCTCCCCGCCGCCGCGTGGTCACAAGAGCCCGCCCTCAGGCTTTTGCCGCTCCTCCTCCTCCTCCTCCTCCTCCTCCTCCTCCTCCTCCTCCTCCTCCTCCTCCTCCTCCTCCTCCCCCTCCTCCCCCTCCTCCCCCATCCCCATCACCACCGCCATCATCATCAGCATCATCATCATCAGCAGCATCATCATCATGAGCATCATGGTCATCATCGTCATCATCATCATCGTCATCAACAGCAGCACCATCCTCTTTGTCAGCATGATCACCTTCATCTTCATCATCAACAAAACCGTCACCATCGAAAAAAATACATTAGCAGCAGCATGATCATCACTACCACCTACAACACCGCCACCACCACCACCACCACCACCACCATCACCACCATCACCATCACCACCATCATCCTTCCTCCTCCCCTTTCCTGTTCCCTCCTCCTCACTCCTCATCCCCTTTTCTCGCCCTCCTCCTGCACCTCCCCCTTCTCCGCCTTCCCCCCATCCTCCCCCCATCGTGCCCCTCCTCCCCCATCACGACTCCCACCCCGCCTGCCCGCTGCGTTCCCCCCACGCGGGGCCCCGCAGGCCTGGCCCAGATGGCGGCGCTGTGGTGGTCGCTCTCCGACGCCAACGCCTCCGGCGTCCGCCCGGCGGGGGCGGGGAGCCCGGGCCTACGGCGTGAACAGCAAGGGGCCCGCCGCTTCTTGGAGCCTCGAGCTGGCCGTTTCCTGCCTCCGCGACGATGTCGGCTACGCTGTCGGGAATTTTTGGTTGGCGCGACACGCCCTCCACCTCCCATTCCTAAAGCGCCAACGTCCCGAACCTTCAAGAGCCTCCCGCGGAGCGGAGCGACAAGATATCCGGTTGCAGGGCATAGCGTGAGGGAAACTCGGGGAGCCCCCACAGTGTGCGGTGACCACACCGTGTGGTGAGTCGGTGGGGATTCGGGGTGACATCACAGTTTTGGGACGTGTTGGTCGCTTTCCGAGGATGTCTCGGGCCCTTACTGAGCGTCTGGGCCGGCAAAGAACTACCCCGGAGGAGAAGTGTGCCCCGGGGAAACGATCTAGACCTCTGGGGAGCCAGGGTTGCGGGAAAAAGCGCGACGGCGGAGGTCTGGGCCCCAGGGCTTTCCCCAGGACTTGTTCCTCGCCCCGAAGCAGGCCCCTGGCGGCGGCCCCAGGCACCGTGCAGGGCCCCGAGGGCCCGGAAGCGGCGAGAAGTTTCCAGGGCCTGTGCCCCTCCTGCTGGTCGCCGCCTTGGCGGCGGTGGAGAAGATGTCATGGGCGCCCTTCGGGAGGGGGTCCACCTCCTCCTCCTCCTCCTCCTGCTTCTCCTCCTCCCCCTCCTCCTCCCCCTCCTCCTCCACCTCCTTCTCCTCCACTTCCTCCACCTCCTCCTCCTCCTCCTCCTCCTCCTCCTCCTCCTCCTCCTCCCTCCTCCTCCTCCTCCTCGGGGGGCAGCGGCGGAGGCGCCAGGACTGCGGCCCGAGGTCGCAGTTTCTTGCGCGGGAGGCGGAGGGGGGAGGAAAGGTCCCGCCCGCGCTGGGCGCGCTCCCGGAACGGGCTCCAGCGAATCGGGCGAAGGGAACTATGCACATGCACCGATCCTGACAACGTCCATCCTTGACCCAGGATCGGTGCATATACCTTCCTAGCCAAGGTAAGAGGGCGTATGCACCGATCCTGGGCTCAGGATGGGCCTGGCCAGAATCGGTGTATGTGCATAGTTCTCTTTCCTCTAGCGAAAGTGACGGTCGCCCTCCCAAGAGATGTCAGCGCTGGGGAGTCCAGGATTTCCGGAGCCCACTGTGCGGTCTGCGAAGGAGAGCGGTTGCGTTAAGTCGGGCCTGTCCCTCTACAGGGGGGAATACTCAACATACAAGTGGCACGTGAGTGCCCAGGCTCATACAACAAAAAAAACTGAAAGGGCGTTTGAAGCAGGAAGACACCATGACTGCAGGATCGGAGATGGAGAAGGGGAAGCTGGGGCGGCGCCGCTAAGAGAAGGGGAAGAGGCAGGAGGTGAACGCAGAAGAATCTAAGATCGAGGTCGCACTCGAGCGCAAGTGGGGTTGCCACACCTTGCGATGTGTGTATCAGGGCCCCCCAGGAAACCTCAGGAGGCCCGACTTGGATACCGGAAGAGGCTCTAGGAGGCCCTGGGATTGTGAGTGTTGTGTGTGATGTGTGTTCTGTGTTGTGCGTGTTTTCTGTGCGTTGTAGGTGTTGTTTGTGTTATGTTTGTCTAGCGTGTGATGTGTTGGGTGTGATTTGTGTCTTTGTGTGTGCATGTAGTTCTGAGGCCCCAGGAGGCCCCAGGCGGCATCAGGAGGCCCCAGAAGACCTCAGGAGGCTCCAGGAGGCCCCAAGAGGCTCCAGGAGGCCGCAGGAGGCCCCAGGAGGTTCCAGGAGACCCCCAGGAGGCTCCGAGGCGGGGTCTGGGGTACCAGAAGGTACAGAAAGCCCCAGGAGGCCCCAGGAGGTTCCAGGAGGCTCCCAAGAGGCTCCGAGGCGGGGTCTGGGGTACCAGAAGGTACGTCGGGGCTCGATTTTGGGAGGATGTCTCAGGCGAAATCGCCATTCTCTGAGAGTCGGGGTCAAAATCATTGAAATTACCATGTGTGTTTGAAGGTTTTATGTTAGAATGTCTAAATTCCCATATGTTTTTGGACCCTGACGTCACGATCTGCGTGAGGGGTGCCACCGATTTTCAGAATTTCGAGGATGTCCCGAGCGAAACGGCCAGAACAATCGCGAACGCCCCGCGTACGCATCAATCGCCTCTGAGCTCTACTCCCTCGGAGAGGTGCGTATGATATTATATATATATATATATATATATATATAATATATATATATATATATATATGGCAATGCGTGCATGTGAATCTTTTCTGAGAGTGCCTTGAGGACAGGGGGCCGCGCGTCGCAGCACGCCCGCTACCGATTGTGCTCAAGCTGACACCGGCGCCGCCGCGCCGGGGGACGCATCCCCCGCTTCCCATGGCCTGGGGTGTTGGCCAGCGGTACCTGGACTGGCTCTTCGGCACCGTCTCGCAGACGAACGTGAGTTGGTCAGCCCGCTGCTCGGCGTGCCCCGCCTGCCCGCAGCCGCCGGCGTGCCCAGCCTGCCCCTCGGCGGCGCCGATCCACTTCTCCCCGCCGGCCGCCTGTCCGGCGGGGCCAGGGGCGCCGACCACCGCGCCCGCGCCCCAGCCGACCGCCCAGGAGCCTGAGAGCCTCTCCTGGACAGGCGGGCGGCTGACCTGCTTCCTGGTCGCCATCAACCTGTTGGTCTTCAGCTCCCACGTGGTGCGGCAGGTGATTCAGGATCCGACTGATGCCCGCTGGTCCCCCTTGCGTGTGCTGATAACGACGCCGGATGGCGCCGTGTACGAAGAGCTGTACGACTTGTCTGGTGGGACTTCGGCTGCGGTTCGCTTCGAGGACGACAGGGGCACCCGCCCGGCTGGCCTGGGGGTTGAGAACCTCTACCGCTTCCGGCGCGCGCTGACGGGGGCCGAGGAGGTGGCCATCTGGTTCGAGGTGGACGCCTACGGCCACGACGTGTTCCTCGTCGCGGAGCGCGCGGCCGGACGGCCTGGGGTGGCGCCTCCGGCGGACGCCGTCGTCTACTTCACGAATGCGGCCGCGGCTGGAGGCGCGGTCGTGCCTGGGCCCGCTCCCGCCGCCCCTGCCGCCGGGGGAGGGGCAGCTGTGGCCGCCGCGTGGGCGGAGGTGCCGGCCGATCCCGCCGCGGCCGCGGCTGGGCCGCCCGCGGGGGCCACCCCCATGGCGGCAGCAGCCGCTCCGCTCGCCGCTGCGGAAGCTCCCGCAGGACCCGTGGGGCCGAGTGCCTTGCCTATGACTGACGTGGAGTGGGTCTACGTTGAGGCCACGACGACGGCCCGGCGTTGGGACCCTGCCACGATGGACGGGACCGACCTCATCCGGGGGGCTATCGGCCTGATGCAGGATGCTGGCGGGAGCTGGTCGGCCATCAGGGTGATCATGACCTCGCAGGCCGCCTGCCACGGCGCCGAGTCCCTCGCCGACGCTCGCCTCCAGCCTGTACCACTGTTTTGTGACGGCTCGCGGCAGCGCGGGAAGTTCCACGAGGGTGTCGACATGCTCTGCGAGGAGCCCCTTCCCGACTGGCCGCTGGGCGGCCCGAGGGCCGCGCCGTGGAGCCTCCGTTCCTTGGACAGGACGCGCAGAGGGGCCATCGAGCACTTCCACCAGATCGTGTCCTACTACCGGCTGTATCGCGACGACTTCGGGGAGACACACTACGAGGCCATCGTGCGGATGGTCGACTACCTGATGACGTGGGACCTCATCGACTTGCCCAAGGTGGTGGGCGTCGGGTTCATGCTGCGGCAGGCGCAGCTGTACAAGTACATGTACGCCATGAAGTACGAGGTGGAGGTCTTCACGGGCGTGGCCCACGAGGACGGCCGCACGATGGTGGCTCCGGCACTACTGGAGCACGAGGCCAAGCAAGTTGAGCGCGACGCTGGGATCCTTACGCTGATCAAGCATGCTAAGGAAGAGCGCCGCGCTCGGGCTCCATGATGGAGCGGGGCCTGGAGGTGGACTCCCCGACCGCCTTCAGCGACTCTCGAGGGGGCTGCGCGGATATCGCCTCCCGCGCTGCAGATGTACATGAGGCTCACCCTGCTCGTCCGCGGCGGCATCGGGATCTCTTTCCGCTCCCTGTGCCCGCCGGCGGTGAGCGCAGTTTTGTGGCCACTGACCTTTCTCGCACAACTAAGAGGCGACTCCACAGGACCAGTCACCGCCGCGAGATGGTCGTCGACGCCATCCGCGCCATGAATGAGATGTACACTGGTTCGAGCTGCCCGCGGCCCACCGGCCTCACCGGCCCTACGACCGCCCAGCAGGAGGCTCTGGCGGTGATCCAGGAGGCCGTCGACGCCTTCGGAGTGCCCCCGTCCGACCTCACTCCCGCAGGAGCCCTTGAGGAGCTCCGCGTCGCGCAGTCATACGACCAGGAGTCTGCCGTGATTGCGCCGGTGACCTTCGACCGCGTCGATCTGATCTCCCTGCCGAGCGTGGGCTCCGAACCGAAGTCCTTGTCTGCGCTCATCGGGGATGACAGCATGAGTATTGGTCACCGCCTTCAAGATCTACTTTTGCCCCGTGAGCGGGGGCTTGCCCGGGTCGCTGAGCACGCTCCGAAGAGGGCGTATTCGGACCCCAACTTGAGGAACCCTCGGTTATATAAGAAAGTATTGCACCGTCTTTTGTCATCGCACCTCGTTGAGTTTCATACCGATGCGCTGAGCTCAGTGGGAATGTTCTTCGTCTATAAGAAGTCAGGGGCCCTGAGGCTCATACTGGATGGTCGGATCCCCTCCCAGTTGTTCGACGAGCCCCCCAAAGTGAAGCTGGCAACTGGGGCCGCGTTCTCCCAACTCCGAGTTGATAGTCGGGAGCCGGTGTGTGTCGCTGGTGTGGACATCGCGGATGCCTTCTATACCATGCTGCTCCCACCTTGGCTTCGGCGGTACTTCGGGCTCCCTAAGATCAGGGCTGGGGAGATGGGGATCTCGGTCGACGCGAATGGGAGACCCGTGTCGCCTACGCAGTGGGTCCATCCGTGCTTCAGGTGCCCTCCGATGGGA